AGTAGATTTTTGACTGAGTCTCTTGGGTTTTCTAGGTATAGGATCATATCATCAGCAAATAGGGATAGTTTGACTTCTTCCTTACCAATTTGGACCTGCATTCAATTTTGCCTTCTTCTAACTTATCTCCACATTTTAACCAAAGCAATCATTAAAAATTTAAATCTGATTATGCCTTATTCTTGCTTAAATACTGAGAGGCTTTGAATTGCCTTAGGAGTAACTCAGTCCTTAGGATTGCTAAGAACGTACAGGATCTGGCCTCTGCCTGTCCCTTCGGCCTTTTCTCCAGCCACTTTCTCCCTTACTCTCTATGTACCCTTTTGATTCTCATTCAGCTCTTGGAATGCCCTAAGTGTTCTTTTTCTTCTAGGAAAACATACTGTATTCTTTGCACATATGCTTCTGCCTATGCTTTAAAACTCTTCCACTGGGCCTGGGAAACCCTACCTATCTTTGAAGTCTCAGTTAAAATGTCACTTCTTCAAAGAGAAAAATTACTTTCTGAACTCTCCTTAGACCCCACGTTTTTCCTTTTGCCATCCTTGTCACACTTGTAAATGCATGTAGAGAAGTGTAATGATGTGCAACATGTAGTCAAAGACATTTTTGTCTTGATCCCCACTGTATTCTCAGTGTCTAGAAGAAATTCCAGTGATTGAGAATTGAGAAAATTCACAGGTATTCTTTTATGGATACTCATCCTAAACACATAGCTGTTTCAAATTAATGTACAAAATTATTTTTCCTGCACTAAAATTTGAGAGAATAAACTTTCTATGTTATTATACAATATAACTCATTTATTATTTACTTAACATTTATTGTATTATCATACTATTCGTATCCAGCTTAAAAATACACAAAGATATATTGTTGTTGTTCTTATGTGCCGTCAAGTTGGACCCAACTCATAGCGACCCTTCCTTGGGTTTCCAAGGCAGTATTACTACGGAAGTAGATTGCCCCATCTTCCTTCCGAGGAGTGGCTGGTGGGTTTGAACCGCCAGCCTTCTGGTCAGCAGTCAAGTACCTTATGCACTACACTACCAGAGCTCCCCAAAGATATATTAAGTATATACAAAATATTAGCTGATCTGCATATAAATTAACCAATGAATATAGTTTCAACATTGTAACATTTAGGTTACTATTAAATGAACTTACCACTTTAACTGATGCAATCTTATCTTCAAAAGGAATGTTTTCATGCTGCCATAATAAAGAGAGATAAACATTAATGTATAGACTAATTTTATATAATTAATTTCCCTGTTAGTTATTTTTGTTTACTAATTTTTACATCAAATATCAACTATCTACAGATTACCTGAAGGGGAAAAAACCTGCATAAAATACCACAAACAAGTAACAGTAGGTAAATTGTTTAGATATGACTCTCAGTATCTAAGATGTTCAAAGATAAAACCTCAACTACAAACAAGCAGGTACTTAAACCTGCCTGTATCAATTCTTTTTGCCAAGCTTGCCACAATTCCAATTTATCCCTAGTATTACTATCCATGGCAGAGATGGATTGCTCTCTTATGACTTCCCGAGTTCCTCCCAATTAGGCAGGGCCACATGACTAGTTCTAGCCAATGCAATATGGCTAGATGGGATGTCAGTCACTTCCAGGATAAATTTCCCAAAGGAATTCTCTTGTCTCTATCTAACCTGATGAGATGGCTGCATGGTACAACTAGATGGTAAAACTTCCAACAGCAGAAATCCCTGCATAATTAAGTGATAGGAAATCTATGCAGCACTTAGTGAGAAATAAACTGTCCTGTTAAAGTTACCAAGGTCACAGAGTAGTTTGTTGCTGCAGTAATACCTAGTTCATTCTCATTAATATACTAGTATAGGCCCTAAATGAACAGGAATGGACATATGCGACTCCAGGTTATTGTAGGCTACACTTTGAAGATGGTGGGTAGTGGACAGTTGAAGACAGTGGATAGTTCAGTTGCAGAAAAAATTTATAGACTACAACTTCTTTATAACAAGCACTCCAGATAAAGAACAGATCTCTTTTCAGAGTTAGAAATCCTGAGTGAGGTGGAGGTAGAAGCTAATTTTGTGCTTAACACCAGTATTTTCCTAATTTAACCCACAAAGCATTTATTTTGAAACCTCTATGAAATAAAGTTTGCTTTTATCAGCAGGTAAACTTTTTAGATCCTTGTTGATCCTCCTAAAATACCATTTCCCAAAACAGTATATTCTTGTGGTTAGGTGCTGTCGAATTGGTTCTGACTCACAGTGACCCTATGTACAACAGAACAAAACAAGGCCTGGTCCTGCACCATCCTCACAATATTTGCTGTGCTTAAACCTATCGTCATAGCTACTGTGCAATCCATCCATTGAGGGTCTACCCCTTTTTGGTTAACCCTCTACTTTATCAAACATGATATCCTTTTCTATGGTCTGGTCCCTTCTAACAACATGACCAAAGTAAGTAAGATCAAACGTTATCTAGGGGCCATTAATTCAACAGAACTTTAAGGTATGTTATATGCAAAGAGTTTCCGTGTTTAAGTAAGCCTAGGAAACATTAAATCAAACAAAATTACACAGGTATTTTCCTCCTCTTCCCTGCCTCTTCCCCAACTAAATTCTTCCTCAGGGAAATTGTGTGTCAAGGGCTTCCCCTTCCACCCCTGTTTTTGCAGTTAATTAAATTCACTCTTTCTTCTTGATTATTTTAATATAATGTTTGTTTATTTACTGTGTGTGTGTGTATACATATGTATGTGAGTGTATATATACATGTATATATTATTTA